TTAAGATAAAACGAATGCCAGTAAGTAGCTTCATATTTACTCTAATCCGTGTACAGTAACTTTTTTCTGAAGTATTGAATCTTGAAAAAAAAAGTGCCGCGCCTTGATTCAGGATTTAATTTTCATTCAACGCATCAAATTCTGATTATTTGTCTAGCATTTTTTACCCAGTCTTCGAATGTTGAATAAAAAATAATATAATGCAGACTGCAGCTCCAATTTCAATCTGATCGCAGGAAAAAATATTGGACCATTCAAAATCCCTCTAAAGCATTTTCAGCTTATTCTAACGAATAGAAGATAGCGCATCTCGATTTCAAATTTGATTTTTCTTCAACTCATCATGGGTTATATTTTTTTTGGAAATTTCTCCATAATCTCGAACAGTGAATCAACGGATGAACTGTTACAAGCAACAGTCTTAATAATAGTCCGGTCACAAGAAAAATTGAACTTCGGTCAAAATGTTCGCGAAGGCCTCAGAGAAAACTAGGGAAAAAATTGCCACACCTAGATTGACATTATTTTCTCATAAAATTATCGATCTACATTTTTTTGGAAAATTATCCAACATTCTAACATTTTGAATTGAAAAAAAAAATATAGAAAACTCTGAGCGCCAGCTTAAATTTGATCCTGACTGCAGGAAGCATTTGAATTTATTTATAATTGGTTTAAAAGATTGGGATCTGTGGGAAAAACTGGCATTTTTTTTAAATTTACTTTATTCCAAAACGGATAAATTATTTTTTAAAAGCTGATACTTTTGAATATCGAATCGACAAATGAGTGAAACGGACGTCAGCCATAATTAAATTTTAGTCTCAGTAGAAAAAACAAATTTGACGGTAAACTTCTGTCAAATATAACCCCAAGTAAATGTAAAATGCCAAATGGATCAGCAAGAAAAGCTTACCCTGTGATCGTAAGCACCTCGATGAGAGCAAACGTCCCATCCAATGAGAGTAGCGTTTTGCGTGTCCGGGTAATTAATAGGACGTTGGTGTTCGTAAGGTCGAATCATTATTGATTCCGTTAATCCATAAATCTCGAAATTATTTAAAATTCGGATAGTGGTTCTCGATCCGACGTGATTTTCGAAACCAACTGTTGGGGCCGCGTTCGCCCGAAGGATTTGTTCGAATTCGTCTGGAATAGAAACAGATCAAGTGACTGTATCCAGTCTTTTTTTTTCTATCCTCAGAGTTCAGACACGCTTCAGTAGATCTTCTCATCTAAAAACAAATAATTAGTTTTTAAATAGCATGGCATTTTTTAAATGGGAAAAGGGGCATTGATCGACCATGAAACCCGGCCCTCAATGCTCGTTAAAATCCTTCCGGTCATTAAAAGGAATAGTCATTTGAACAACTCTTTGACAGGGTATTAGTAACTGAAACTATAATTCGACCGAGATTTTAGCAACCTTTAAAAATATGGCAACAACCACAAAAAAAACCGGAGAAAAATTCTAGAATTTACTGCATATTGAAACTCACCAATCTTTGAGCCGAGGGAGGAAGTTAGCAAACAGCCTGAACTGGAAACAACAGCGCATTTGCCAAACTTTTTGCCAGTCATGATTTCACTCGAAGTGGGAAACCAGTTTTTCATGGGTGATTTGGCGAATGCTGGATTGCTTCTGGTGATTGCAAAAGGAACTCTTCGTTTCAATTCGCACAAAACGTCCAAGGTGGAATTTTCGGCAAGTCTTCCAATCAACGAAGTGGGGAAGGAAGAATTGTTTTCGGGGTCTCGTCTTTGAAGGTTCATTTCCATCGCTCGAAGAGTTTTCCATAAATCTTCCTTGTGTTCTAAAAATTACAATCGTTGAGAATAAAAATCGGGGCGAAAATTTGCGGAAAAAGGTGGATTCCTCGAATAATCGCACAATGAAATATCAAATACGATGCAACAGTCAGGAAGAGAACTTACAAAAATATTTTTTCGACATCTGGAATTCTTTTCATCTAAACAAAGATGTACGTTATCTTCTTTTTCAAAATAGGTGTCACTTGAATCATTTTTCGCTTCTTTTAGAAAAAACCAGGTGATGCAAGCAGCATCTAATAAATTTAAACTAGGTGAACTTATTTCAAATAACACGAATGGATATAAAGAAATCACAGCAATGTCAAGAAACCGAATGAGCTTTCGAAGAACCCTCGACGAAAATTAGAGGAAAAGTGGCATCTGCTTCACATTTTTCTTCATCAAGACTTTTAATGCCTCTATGTTCAAATGTGATTTTAAAATCTCCAAAGGATAATTTTAATAACGTCTTCATACACAACCGGAGGTGAAGACATTTCAAAAACAGTAATCAAAGCTTGATTTTCTTTTGCTCAAACTTGAATATTTTATCTGTTTGTCACACAAATCAAGGTGAGGAAAGAAAGTTGGAAAATTGTTAGCTCTTGAATGTTTTATGTACGAATTCGGCCAACACAAATTTTGAGAAAAAAATTTTGGTAACCATCAGGACTCCGATTCAGTTGCATAAAAAACTCCTTTTATGTCTTTTGTGACGATGGAATTTTAGTCATCAAATACCATAACGATTTCACATGAAATTCAAAGAACGTCATCAGCACTCACTTGCAATGCGTTCTCGCCTCTGGTCATCATTCCGGAATTTGACCCCCGGAATTTCGGAAACCAAAGTAGTGACATCTGTGCGCTCAACATGAAGGAATCCGTAGAACAAGTGCAGACCTGCACACAGGGCCACGACACACGCAGAAAATTTCGCAGCAATGTTCCAACAATTCCGCGCTGCCTGACGTCTCGCAACCCGTTTAGCCCCGTTGCTGCTGCCAACGTCCACTGTCTTAATCGTGAGATTGGATTTCATGACGATATCGCTCATCGCCCAATACGTATCAGTCAGTCCACACCAAGAATATCCAAGAACGGCTCTATCTTGTTTTTCCCTAACCATGCTGTTTTCCTTCAGTTCACTCTTTCAGTTTTATTTATTTATTTCTTTTGATTTCCCGGACGACCAACGAAGCGAAAGTAGACCGAGGAATAAAATAATCAAATAAAAAGGCGGCGAAAAATGGAATGAGCCGAGTTGAGAGGTGTTGACGGGAGACTCGATGTCTCAATCGGTTCCACGTGTCGACCCGCTTGCTGTCATCGCCTCTGGGTGCTAATTAAGGATTTGTTAAGGGGACTCGTTCCCTAGCTCCTCACTGTCAAACTGTCTGCATTATTTTTTATTTTTTTTTAGATCGTACCCGTTCGTGGACAAATCAAATCGTCGCTGTTTTATTTTTCGAGAGTCCGTCTGGTTTTGATTAAACGTCTAGTTATCGGAAACATGTCGACCGACGAGTTTTCCAATGGCACCGGAGGCATATTTCAGACTTCCAGTATACAGTATTTGAAAGATGTGAACCCGATCTTCGACCATTATAGTGTGAAGAACATTTTTTAACTGCTTAATAGTGATACCATAGCACGGAAAAGCCTTTGTTACAAGAACGCAAAGGCTCAGCAACATTTTTGGCTATCCTGCAGGAATCTTACAAATAGTTTTAGACTGGAATTCAACACACGGAAACCAGTGATGAGAATTCCTGAAATACGAACCGGATTATCTGGGTTTAGACCAAGGCGACGTGCTGACCACATTTGAGTTTTTTCGTATATTTAGAGATGCTTATCTGAATTTAGTCTGAACCAATTTATTTTTCAGAGTTATTCAATTGTTATAATATTAGCATAATTTTTTAAATTCAATACAGGAGCCTTTGTTGAGAGAAATTATGTGGGGCTCTTAGCTGTACAGCATAGTAGTAGTTTAATAATGGTTATATATTTTTTAACTAGAACTGTTCTGTCAAGATATTTTCAAAAAATGGGCTCCTTAAGTTCAGTAGATGTTATTTTATGAACGCACTTCTGGAAAACTTTTGTTTCTGTGCGTTCAGATTCAAAAATTATTGCCGTCATTTTGCCTGTTTCCCCTCGAAGGAGAAGAGATTTCAATGAATATCATGAAACTAATTTTCTTTCAACAGAAATGCCATCCATCAAACAGAAATCATAGCGAAGAAAGCTCGGACGGGAGAAAATTTTTCGTCACTACGGAAGAAAAGTGATCTTTTTTGAGGCTTCACGCCCGCTATTTTTCTTCATTATTCGCTTCGTGTATAGTGTACGCGTAATTATAACCGAGACTCAAATTACCTCATGGTGATCAACTGTAATTGTTGATGAGAAGCGTGGTTTTTGCCGAGCATAATTGCTCTCAGCGTGGGAAAGAAAACTCAATTTTCGAAGCACTTCTCAGCAAACCTTCGGCGTAACTTCGAGGTTTCCACGCGTCGTATTCACGAATATCGCCTCATCGGCAATGTGACTATTTTTCTTTCCTTATCTAGTATTTTGCAGGTTTTTTTCTGACGTATGATCCACAGAAGAAAGCAGGACTTCAGCTGAAGTCATTTCGGAATCGAACAAACGGTATACTGTGTAATCAAAAGATCAAATCTCAGTTGCGAGTAGTTTTTGCATAGATGAAGGGGAAATGAAACCACGTCGACTTATTGCGAACAAGTCGATGGAACATCGCGTGCGGGTATGTCATTTTCACAAAACCCGAGAATGAATTACTGAAAACATTGAGAAAAATGTCCCTTTTCTGTTTAGTTTAGGCTGCAGCAGGGGGTCTTTCTCGTCGTTTCTCTGACCAGCTCGCAAACCAAATAGCTATACTGTACTGTACTGTACAGCTTAAGGTTGATGAATCGACCGCATATCCAAAACACACAGAAGCATAAACGTGTTACAAAGCCAGGACAACTAATTGCCTTAACCTTGATCGACCAAACCCGGAGATGGCATCTCCGCTCTCGTCCCAACACCGTGTTTACAGCTGCCCTGGCCAGCGTTGCTGCTTCTGCCAGCAGCTAGTTTCACTGGGAGAACGAGAGCCAACTAAAGATTTACGAGGTTGACGAGGAAAAAACGTTTGTGATGAGAATCAGGTGCCCCTGCGTTGGACACTAAGCATTTACCTGCCGAGGAATGCGTCGACGCAGCTAATGATCCACTGCATTATTATCAATTGAGGTGGGCCTCCAATGGCCTCTCTCTCTCTCTCTCTTCCGGGCAACACACAGGCTGTTTGTCTTTTTCGTAGTCTTGGTGATGCTGAAATCAATAAATATTATAGTAACAGTTGCTGTACAGTCACACCTTTGTAAGTCAAATATCAAGGGACCATAACAAAAATCGAGTTGTGCAGCGAGTTAGGGAAACAAGCAATTTTTTGGCTCAGGAGGACAGATTTACTGGAAGTTGTTTTTAGTGGTAATCTGGCCTTCAAATTGCTGCATAATTCAGTTGAAGAGATGCTGAACTTTGAGGTGAGGGTTCATTTGCCCAAATAGTCTTTCACTTCTTTTCAAAATCCATTGAGTTACATTTTTATTGCTTTTCTCTGCCCTTTCTCCTGGGTCAATAAAATTATGTCCGAAAGGCTTCCAGAGAATTCGAGTCGTCATGGAGGTTTGAGCTTTTTTGGGGATATAATCAGGTTTTTAAATGTATTGTTTCTAAAGGACTCAGACAAGGACTTGACAAAAATTTAACATACTTATTAGTCATGCTTGTGATAGCCATTAGCCAACGAAACTAGAAGACTAGAAGAATGAATTGTGGCTCACAAAATGATTCGCCAGTATTAATGCAATACCATTTTAAGGGGAAGAATGCAGTTTTATGCATCTTGCGATTCTAAAGCAAATGAAGAGAATTTTTTTGCTGCTTCTGGGGAAATGATGGACCATGTATGACAGGAGTCTGTGTCTTTTTCAAACTACTTCTCAAGGGTTTCATGATTCAAATTGAATTGACAATAATGAAAATGTAGAAGCACAACCAAACAACGTGAAAATATCGTAGAACCAAATTTTCAAAACGAAGGGAATCGTCTGAAAATCAAGAAAAACGTATGTAAAATAAATATGAATATTTTAAAAATGACTCGCACTCCTACTGCCACGAGTTATGTACACACATGTACATGGATGATCAGCTTTTCTTAGAATAAGCCAGGCGACTTCCATTACCCGCAGTTACCACAACGTTTGCCTTTCTTTTTATTGGATTCCATCCCCGTGCTGTAGGGCATAAATTTATCGCTATCATGTCTGGCTTTTTATCAGAAGACTGTAAATTAATCCGGTTCCGCGCAGACGACCGCGTTCACGCCCAGCTGTAAAACTCGGCGTTTATCGTTCTCCAACGATCGGTTCGACCCCAGAGAAAATATCCGGCTTCCAAAAATGTTCATGAGCTCCTGGAAAAAATGTTCTGATGATCGCTTTTCCATCGAATGTCATAATATATGCCGGTAAATAACAAAATTCTTCGCAGCCATTTTCATGACAAGAAGGGGTGCACAAGTGCGATATGTGTTACCTCTGCGCAGGAGTTTTTGTTGTTGTTTCAAAATGTAAATTGAGGTATTTCTTGAAACAGATTCAATAAGGAATCCCTATATCGTCCAACACAACAGGAACCTGAATTACCGACGCCTACAGAGCAAAAAAAAAAAACAAGCCCCTCGACCCTTATAAAATTCCTGCGTATCCATGAATATTAATCAGGGAAGCAAATGTGGCTCGTGCATATAATTTTCTTAGTTTTCTTAAGCTTTATGGCCGTTCATTTATTGCTCTAAAGCTCTGAATACTTGAACAATTCGGTGCCCATTTTTATAATGTCACCGCAACAATCTCTCGCAGATTAGCAATAAAAACTGATGAACGCTGAGGAATGTAGGTTTTACTGGGACGAACCATTCTCGATTTAATTGCTGAGACGATTTGTATTCACTGCGATGAATTCGAAATGAGCTTCCAGTTTTAAACGAGGTATAATACTAAAACGGAACTTTCAACTGTAACCAGTTGCTATCTATCCTCTCTTTAATTGTTGGTATTCGGGAAAGATTGTTTCGGCATTTAAAACCTTAACGCGAGTCTTTATTAAAGCCGGAGTATGCGGACACTATAAAACGAGCGATTTATTAAGATGTTTGGAATGTATTTTTCAGCCGTCGAATCATAAATAAGTAATTGTTTTCTTCATTGCAGGATTATACGAGATTTTTTTTTTTAACAATTGAAGCCCTGAAGCCCAGGGATGACGGAGATTCCTTTTTCGTAAGCATCTGCATCCGATGCCTTGTTGAGCCTCATTAAAATGGCAATTTCAGCTTCTCGGTGATGATTGGACGACGCTGCGCAATTTAAAGTGGATTTTCTTTCACTGCTGCCGAAATATTTGCAAGACTGGGCCCCTTTCCTCATCACAGGAATCAGGTGGTACAATCTGACTTCTTTGCAATGGTGCATCATTAGTGCAACCCCTTCAAAGAATACGCGTACAGGTCATTTAAACAGTAGTCGGTATCTTCTGCTGGGAATGAAAGTTGAAATTACGAATAAATTGGGAATATTTTGAGAATGTTTGTGCTTTGTAACGTAGTAGCGTTCTCACCGATGAACCCGGTGGAGGGAACTTTGTGTGAAGCCAATCTGACAGGCATAAGTTTATCCAGAATGTCGCCAAGTCCTCTGACCCAATCAGGGTCCAGGAAGTACGCATTTCTTGAAGGATTCTTCCTTTTCCAGGACAAATATCCCCCGAGGCTGTTCTGACCCATCCACTTCTCTACCGTTCTCCCTTTGTTTACCAAGCACTAGAGAAATAACGATGAATAATGATCATCAATAGGAAAATAGAAATCACGTTGAAAACCGTCGAATAAAATTGAAACTCTGTAAGATTCCTTTTGACTTGTGAGTTCGAGTTGAGTGACCGACGAAAAGATTTTATTTTCAAATTTACCTCCTTCGGCCTTCTTTTTTTCCCACTACAATATCATATTCAATAATTAATATCGATTCCAGCTCACACTCTTCGTCCATTTCAGACACATTGCAAGAATAAAACATAATTATATTTCAAGGGGTTTTTGAGACATACTTGGCCAATCCTTATCTATCGAAAATGTTGAATGACATTCATCGCATAGCAGTTATGCCAAGTAAAAATTGCAAAAAATATTTTATTAGTATGTACTGGAATTAGCATCCAAGAATTAATTTAGTCTGAATGACGAGTCTAGATTAATCTTTTGCTTATCGCAATTATAATTGTTCCTAAAAAAAATGTAATCGGCATTTGGCTCAAACGCGATGATTCAGACAAAAGCGAAATAATTAATATTTTTCCAGCGCCGTTGTTTAATGCATTATTCCTCAAGCACTAACAATTGGTTTTTAGTGCTGAAAAAGAAATTTTACTCTAAAAAATTGGCGTCAAAATTCCATACTCATGGAAACGTCGACACTTTTACAATACAGTATACTGGAAACTGATCTCTCAAACCACTCAACAAAAATGGCAGGAATGCCCTCGATTAGGTAGCTTAAGAGACAGAGCAAAAACAAAAGAAAAATGAAGCCGCGATGAATCAATAAAAACGTTTAAATAAGTTCTCTACAAATCCAATTCATTTTCAAAATGTTTCAAGATTGCTGGATTGCAAATTAAAAGCAATTAATTTTCTTCTGGCATGCTGACGAACCTTGTGGAAAGGACTTCTTGGTCTACAAACATCCCATCCGATGATTGTTGCTCCTTTAGAATCCGGAAAGTCTTCCGGGTGCGCCGCCCCTTTCCCCATCTTCCCAGCGGAATTCATTAAAATGTCGTTCAAAACTCGAATGGTCGTTTTTGAACCAACGTTTCTGTCGTACCCCCGAGTCGGAGATTTGTTGAATCTCATGACATTCCTGTGTCCATCTATACAGGGAATTTTGAGGGCAAATTTTAGAGTAGCTAATGCTTCCTCAGCGTAACAAAGTACAAATTTAATCAGAAGTTTTCTCGCGGTGCTACATTCAATGAAACAGCATATCACAAAAACTCTGCTGCGGTTTGTGGCCAATTTATTTGGAAATTCAAAGATTGTCGTATTTATAGAAAATTCGACTGAGTCTGTATATATGCAGGTAATGTCCTCTCTTATATTAGATGATTCCAATGGAACATTTACCATCCTCATGCGTTCAACTGAGATTTAATTTCTCGAAAATCGGCCGCAACCTTTTTTGGATTTCACGTTTGGGAAATTTCTTCGGAAGATCATTCCTGAAGCAGCGAGGAAATGGAATGATCAAGACTACATTTTCTTTCAATCCTCCCATTTAAATTAATGAGACAACGAGTGACTGCGAAACGCAACTGATGCTGCTTTTGCAAATACGAAGAACAATTCTTAATTCCTCATCGCCTTGGCAGCAAAATCTTTTTTTTTTTTATCAAAGAGGGAGAATTATTCAGCCATACATTTTTTTCGCGCCAAGGGGGTTCTCTTGGTCTGAAGCCAATAAAGAGACGAAAAAATTTAACATGATATTGAATGCTTTGAGAAATTGAATCACGTACAAGTTGAACTTTACATGCGTCCACAAGCAATGGGATATTCGTATTCAGTTTTTAATTTGATTAATTTTATTAGACCAATTTTATCCTTCAAGTACTGCACTATGATGCTATGCTAAAACTGCTTATCTGTTCTTTTCTGCCTAACTTTATCAGATTCAATTTAACGGAAAATTCAAGTATTCGGAATTTGAAGACGCAAAAGCTTTTGTGTTCTTTTTAATCTTTGAGCCAACGCAAATTTTTTTCGTTTCAAACGGATAGCTGGGCGAGACACTTTTCTCGTGTGCATGATGTCTAGACGAAATGTTTTGCCTCATAAAAGATGTCAGAATTTTCAAACGAGGAATGATGGAGATATAAAGGTACCTATGGATGATCCCAAATTGGAATCCGCCAAAGTTCCAGCACTCGAAACAGCAGCGCAAGATTGCAAGTTTCCCAATTTGATTTCGCCATCTGCGGGTAACAATTCTGCGTCTTTGGAGCCCTTTATGTTTTTGTACGAGCTAATCAAAGCCTTAGGAACATGCTTCTTCAATTGACACAAGATCTGATGGCTTGACAAGCTCTTGAATACTTGCTTCTTGACCGCATCCCAGGAAACTGGGGCTCCATAGTTCAACTTCGATAGTTTCCTTGACAACTCGTCTTCCAGCCATTCTTTATATCCTGCAAATAAAGTACAAAGAAGAGTCATGTCGGTGTAAACGGCATTTCATGCCAGAATATCGAGTTTTCCAGAATGTATAGGACCGGTAAGTCTTGCATTCGTAAGTTTGCTTGAAATTAATTTGGGCTTTTCGGGAAAGCGTTTATTTTTAGATAACTACAATTTATGATAAACGTTTTTAAAATTGGTTTACGTTTTGAAAGTCGGAAGTACCGAATTCGGGGTTAAAGTCCTATGATGAGAGAACTGCTGATCAGAGGTAAAAAAAAATTAGCATGGGAATGCCAGCTAGAAAATTATTCGACTACATAGTGAAGTACTGTAGATATTTTTCTTTTGGAAGAACAATTATTTTAATTTTGGACTTATTTTCAATTTTGGGCCTGAAAATAGTTCTAAGGTTTTAAATGTTTTGCTTCAAAAATGTACAGATATAAGCAATTTTTTTTCGTTCAAATATATTCTTCCAGAAAATTATGCTGACGTTTTCGACCTTGCGATGTCGGATTGAAGCTATCGGGTCTACTGTCGGGTCTACTGTCGGGTCTCTTCTCGGGTCTCTTATTCCAGGGCCTCTTATTTTTGGGTCTCCTTTGGGGCCTATTTTCGGGTCTCTTTTCCAGCTTCTTTTCGGGTTTCTTTTCGGGAACCTTTTTGAGACTCATGTCGGGTCCTTTTTCAGGACCTTTTTTGGGACTCACGTCAGGTCTCTTTTCGGGTCCTTTTTTGGGACTCACTTCGGGTTTCTTTTCGGGAGCCTTTTTGAGTTTCACTTCGGGTCTTTTTTCGGGACCCGCTTTTTTGAGGCTCATATCGGATTTCTTTTCGGGACCCTGTTTGAGACTCATATCTGGTTTCTTTTCGGGTCCCTTTTTTGGACTCATTTTGGGTTTCTTTTCAGGTCTCATTTCTGGTCGCATTTCGGGTCTCATTTCCTTCCTTGCTGGTTTCTTGGTATCCTTTGCATTTTCCATGAGAAGGTTCTTGTTTGAGTGTTTGTTTTCGCTAGAAAACAGTTTTCCTGCATTCGATAATGAACTGCCTTCCTCATTTTCACCGGCTGAAAAAAGAAGAAGCACTGAAGTTCATTTAATTTATTTTCATATGCCATTTAAAAAAAGGTTGCACGGAATGACGAGGATGATTTTACTCACCATCAATCAATTCTCCGAGGACGATCAATGAAACAAGAAGGAACAAAATTTTCATTCCTTTCTGAGAATTTTTATTCGGTAATATTCAAGCTCAACCGTTCCTGGGATTTTTCAGAAATGCAAAAAAAATTTGATTCATACGGTTTGTGAAAACATTGCAGCTTTCAAGTTCCAAAATACCATTCGTTTTGAAAATAGGCGTTCAACAGTGGTAAAATTCACAGATTTTCAAATCAGAAGCGTTTCCACATTTTTTTAGCCAACTGCAAGCGAAATATATAAAGAAACGAGAGAAATGTCAGATTGTAATCAGATCATAAATGAAATGATGGATTTGTTGTTGAAAAGACTAAAGAAGTCAAATATCAGATTATAATAATGCAGTAGAATATTTGCTATCAAGCGGATTATTTCATCATATAGTTCAAGTAATTAGAAATAACCTGAAACATTTTTTTCTTCTCTAATATTCGGGTTATAACCCGATATTTCTGAGTATAATTTAAATTACTGTATCCGATAATCCTAAATATTCTGATTTTAATATGTAATTATTCATCTTACCGTATAATCTGAAATAATCTGAGTGAATTATCAAATTATAATCTGATATTTAATAATTTAGTGTTTTCAACGAATGACGACCAGCAAGCACATTTTCAAGACGATTTTCTCTGAAGGTGGAATGACCTTGATCTTATCTGCAAGCAAATTTTTAATGACATCGCATTAGTTTATTCCATCTTTTGTCAACATTTCAAGTCGACGAGACCAGGAATCGTTGCACGGCCATTCAAATAAGTAGCCTTGTCATTTGCCATGTTGAAAGCCATTAAAAAGGAAACCTCTGTTTCCCTGGAGTGTCCTGGGAACAAACTGCATCGAATTGGCGAGTTGTAATCGTCTTCAAAATACTTGCATCTTCCTGGACCTCTTTTCGGTGGAATCATGTGGAATACATCTACTGTTTTGCAGTGATGCATCAAAAAGACCAAACCTGCAAGAAATGTTTATAATTAACCAAAGCAAATCAAGAATGTATTCATTTGAAGAAGGTGTTTTTTTTTCTGCTGACTTCAACGATACAGATTTTGTTTTCGAACTGGTTCATGAACTCATGACTCAGTGAAAAATTAACTTCTTATATAGTAAGATATCTTCTAGTATTGTATATCACTTCCTTTCTAGGTTAGCCTGAATTCAATCGAATAAGAATAAAATGATCTTTACCGACAAATCCAGTCGAAGGCACTGAGTTTTTGCTCATAGAAACCGGTGAATGGCGTTTCAAGAAATCACTGATCATCCGAATCCATTCCAGTTGTAAAACAAAAACTCTGTTTCTTGGATGATGCTTTCTGAACTTCAGATAGTTGGCAAAGCCTTGGTGCCCGTATCCTTCAGACTTGCGTATATTTGCACTGCCCAGGTTATCATGGCACTAAATGAAAAAAATTTATATAAGTACTGTATATTATCTGAGAGAAAATGAACAAAGAAATACTGTACATCTTACTTTGTGTAAGGGCAATCGATTTTTAAACCCACAGAAATCCCAGCCCAATAGTATATCATGTTTCAAGTCCTTCTGTTGAATCCGGCTGCCCCAAAATGGATTCGATGGATCATTCAAGGTTACCAACATTTGGTCATTAATGATTCGAAGAGTGGTCTTGCTCCCAACATCTTTTGAGTATCCGATAACTGGTGCCTTGTTCATTCTGCAAACCTGATCATAAGAATCTGAAGAAAACTTCATTTAGTCAATACAATCCGGTAATAATCATCGAATTGAAAGCCAAATTGATTCAATAAATCATAGGCTGTCAGGTACAACATTTTGAAATTCTGGTCAACTTTTGATTTCCGAAATTGAAAGTCGACCAAATAGGATTGAAACATGTTTATACTGGAATTAATACTGCGTCTGATTGGAATTACTTTATTTTTGCGCCACATCCACTCTTTTTATGCAGGCGGGTTTTGCCCTTTTTAATGAGTTTCCTCAAAAATAATAAATAGCTGCAATTTTTGTTCAAAAAAGGTGCTCCTGCCTTTTTATTTATTTTTTTACGATAAAAATATGCTCTCAAATGCATTTACAGTTTTGAGGGATTTCTCCCCGAAAAGATGAAATTGCTGAAAGCGTGTATTTTATCCCCAAATTATTTTTTTAGATTCTTTTTGGAAGACATTTGCGGTTGTTGAATGAGGTATTCGATCTTCCACGTAGCTCTGTTTTTTTGGTAATAGGATTACCACCCTCAATTATAACACAAATCTTTCTGAGAGGTTCACTAGAAAAGTAATTAAGTGGGATACTAAAAGGATAATTTCTCTCTTACCTATTTCTGATCCGATTCCGGAGCCAATTAGAGTCCCAGCACTGGAAACGACAGCGCACGAACGAAAGGAACCCCTGACAGGAATCTCAGGAGTTTTTGGCAAATATTTGGCAAAAGGGTTCTGAGAGAAGCCCTTTGAATTCCTGAAGTATCGGGACGGGATCAGCCGCTTCAAGTCACATAAAATCCGTTTCTGAACGAGAGGAGGAGTCTTCTTGAAAATTTTCCACCGGGTTTTGCCTCGCAAAATGCGACCATGCTTGGACCTTATGTTCTGTCTGATGGTCGCCTTTATTCTCGACTTGTATTCTTCCCAATTTTAAAATAAAAAATTCAAGAATGAATGTCCGTCGGGAAATGAATACTCATTTTAAAAAACATACTGAAGCGATCCATTGACGGACAATTATTTCGCACAAAAAATTAAGGAAAACGTCTTCTCACTTCCTGCCAAACTCGGCTTTTCATCCTCGAATAATTTCAAAGACTCTTTGTCCCATGTCTCGTTCCCAGTACCTGTTTTGGAGAGTTGCAAGAAAGAAAAGAAAAAACTCGGTTGAAGCAGTCGAAAGAAGACATTTTGAACAATGTTGCTGTACTAAACTGAAAAGAAAGCTTCCAACCTTCATAACGAATTTCTAACTGAGGAAATCCAACTGCATTCATTGGTTCTTGCTGATCACCCAAGCATGTCCCAAATCCTATGGACGAAAAAAATCTTTCGATACTTTTGTAATTGTTTCATATTCGAAAAGTAAATTCTTCCCTATAATTGCTAGAACGGTAATGGAAGCTGACAAAAAATCGTGATCCATGGCAATTGTCAGAGCTTCCAGCATGCCAGTCCACGGATTTCTTTTCTGCAAGACAACCAAAATTATTGAAAGGGAGTCAATGGAATTAAACCAGTTCAACTTACAATATTTACTTGTCTTCCATCTTTCAGCCATTTTTTGATCACGTAAATTATAAATACCGCACAAAACTCAGACCACCTGAGGATATAAAGTTCGTCTGCGGGTGGATATATGAGAAGAATTGCTACTTTGAAAGCAGGTCGTTCCAAACCCAAAACCAAAATTCGAAACGACTGTGTCATAGCGAGACGTTTAATATTCAACCTTTCCCATCATGGGTCAGTTCGAGACGCCGGAAAAATGAAGGATTCTTATCCTTTCGGGTTGATCGTCTACCGGCTGGAAAACGGGGTCGCTGAACAGGACGAGTCATCCTCTGTTCGAAAGGACATCTCAATTTAGATAAACCAGGTAAAACCGCGTGACCCGAGACATATGTCGTGTAAAGTGAAGCGGTATTATGGGTCATGAGGAAAGCAAGTTCTCCTTCCCGGTTGTGTCCCGGAAACAAGGAACACTCCAAGGATCGCTTCTTTTTTCCTTTTTTGTCGTACCTACAAGGAGTCTTTTTCTTGACCGGAGGGATCATGTGGAAAAGATGCACCGAATTGCATTGATGCAGCAAAATTGCCGTGGCTGGAATACATTTTTTTTTCAGAAAAATATATTTAATACATTATTAGCCGCTGTTTACTGTACAATACCTGTACTCATTTCGTCCACTTATGAGACGCATGCTGACGAAGTATATGCGAGTTTATTTTCCGAAAGAAAAAAAAAATCTCAGGCTTGTCTCAAATTGAATTTTAAAGAAATAAACAATTTCTCGGGGAATACATTATTATAAATCCAGAATTACTGGTAACATATTTTAAAGTTACGCAAATTTTACCAGAATAAAGAGCAACAATGATACAAAAATAGGGAAAGGGTTAAATCAGTTTTAATTTCGAAATTGTTCAATTTTTCGTGACTTGAACTCTTAAAAGTCCTAAAGTTCGCTGCCAGAATGAAACCAGCGTGGAATGTATCTGAGTAAATGTAGAATTTACGAGTGAAAGAAAATTGAAACTGTTGATTCAGTTCCAGTGCAAAATTTCCTGTTTGTTTCGCTAGGTTGAAAAATGTAAAAGTTTCGGAATTGTTAACAGTATTGCGGAGCATAGCAAGCATACTTGATGCATAGTCCGACAATTCAATTCCTAAACAAACTCTTTCAAGATACTGTATTTCCTAAATAATGTACCTGTATTTCAGCTCATCCATATATTGCTGTGATTCATGCAAAATAGTTTTGTACGCGCATATCTATAATTTAATAAACGCAAAATCAATATTGAACTTGTGTGTGGTAAAAGCTGACACACCACTTAATTTCATCCAACTACTGTATATCGATACGTTTTTCCTTTGTTACTGGTACTTTAAAAATTGCAGTACTTACTAATAAATCCTGACGAAGGCGCGATGCTTTCAGCATTGTGAAATGGGGACTGATTTCCAAGATATCCTTTTAACGCCGTGATGAATGAGTGGTCCAGAACGTAGATTTGCACGTTTTTGTTTTTTCCGTATTTAGTCCATCGCATATAATTCGCAAGTCCATTGTACCCGTGTTTTTCCAACTTACCAATCTTCTCATTGTTCCAGTTATTGTGACACTAAATGCAAAATATTCAAGCAACTTTAAACTCAATCTTTTATTTGATTAAATCTATACTGAAAGATATTTTGTAAGATGAACAGAAGACGACAGAGATGTCACTATACCGTCTCGTGACTTTGGTCAATCGTGTGACTGTAGATATTTTGAAAAACTTACCTTTTCTATAGGCATGCTTGGATGACGTTCACCGCAAAAATCCCACCCTATGTTGATGATGGGATGCTTTTGCTTGGCAAGTTCTTCAGCAGTGATGTGGTCCTCTCCTCTTTTGGTCAAGGATTCTAGTACCTGATCATTGATTAGTCGAACTGACGTTTTCCTTCCTATGTCTTCTTCATGGCCCTCAACCGGAGCTACATTCATTCGTGCCACTACGTCGAACTTATCTGAAAAAAAATTGCCTTTATTTGTTGAATATTCCGTCTTGAGAAAATTACATTCAACATTCCAAGTAGTCTGAGGCTCGTCTGAACTGGAAAATCGTCGTCAAAGTGCGACCGAATCACGAAATATGCAAAACGTAGTGCTCTTTTTTTCAAGCTCCGAAAATCATCCTTACCAATGTAAGATCCAAGGCGAGAACCTGTCAGCGTGCCAGCACTGGAAACTACGGCACATTCACGACCTTTGCCAAATGTTGGCAGTTTTTTGCTTTGTGGCATGTACTTTCCGAGAGGATTGAATTTGAATGGCGTTTCGTTGCCGGAATAAATGGACGGAACAATTCTTTTTAGCCGGCACAAACTGGCATGTTTCTTTCTCCATGGGATTTTCAGTAAAGGCCCCCAAGGTCGCCGAGGAGTTTTGATGGCAGATCCAGTGTACCAAGGGATGAATCTCATCATCCAGAGCACATGTCCTTTTAAAATTTACATAATCAGAAATTTTTGAAAGGATTAGATACGTTTCGGAATGCAGTTGCAAAAACTGACCTTCGAGTTGTTTATCAGAATATGGTTTTCGAGCATGAGTGGTTTTTGTGCGGCCTCGCCAAAATTTCTTTCGAATTTTTGTACTTATTTCGGATGCTCTTGAAAAAGAAGCACTGCTTTTTCCACTCTCTCCGGTTGTTCCGGCAAAAGGACTCCCAATATCTTCAATAATTTATCAATATTTCGATTGTTTTCGAAAGATTGATTCAAAAATTGCGAAGCAAATAGGACACAAATTACTTACCAATATCATCGTCATAATCGGGACTCAACTCCTCCACTTCGATGCAATCAGTTTTATTTGGCTGTCCTACTGGGCATTCTACCTCAAGAACATTTTTCTCAGCATTTGCTTGTATTGCAATAACATTAATAACCAACAAACGAAAGAAAAGTTTCATGCTCTTGGAGACTTCTTCCTTATGCGTAAGAATATATTAACCAACTGAGACTGACTCGAATTTTTCTTCTAATTTCAAATTAATCTGGAACTTATAAACTGATGAGAAATAGGAATTAGTCGATTGAGTGGGGATTGAGCCATCGGAAATAAAAATATAAAATACATAATTTTATGAAGACGAATGCGGAATGATCTTAAATCGGATCACGTAGTCTAATAATTAAAAGCAGATGAAACGAAAAGCTGTTTGTAACCGTTCGTTCTTTAAAAGAGGCGCTCAGATCCAGCGATTTTATTGCAACCGTTAAAGGAAAAATTTAATTTTTGACCACAGCAGTCGACAGAAAAGCCGCAATTGCAAAATTTTCCTAGTAAGTGGAAACAGTTTTAAACTCAGTCGTATTTTCCTCAAGCATAATATCAATAAGGTATAGTTTTTCAATCTAATATAGACCACGGAATGCTGACGCTGTTGAGATTATTTTCATGTTTTTGGCAAGAAATACGATACATTGAATGCATTCAAGATCGAATTAAAATTACACGTTTAGTATCTTGGACTCCTTGGGACTGAGAATTAAAGATGCAGCTTACTTCATGTTGAGCAAGTGTTCTTTGCTCCGAAGAAAATTAAGAGCAGTACAGTGTTCTGATTATCGCCGTAAAAATCTGATTATGATGCTCCACAATTATAAAATACAGTTTTTCAGTTTTTTTGTGAGAGCAGCACAGAAGTAATAAAAATATTCGGTGATATGCTGAAAAAAATCAGCTTAGCTTCCCTGAAAATTAGTCAATGAAGAAATCCATCCCTAGCAAATGATTCTTAGTACAGTACCAGCTGAAACATGCATGAACTCTAAAATCATAAAAATGCAACAAGAGACAGCCTTTTAAATTTTAAAAGTCTGCTTTCCAACTGCCAAGGCGAATTTCTCCTATAATTCTTACTACAGCAATCCCAATAGATGAAACTGCCTTTTTCTTGGCACACCAGGTGTGAATCCTTTCGATTATTTTCCTGCAAAATACATTAAAATGCAAGGTAATCTGTGAGTGAACCAATGAGTATAATTGAGTAGCACAGTATCACCTTATATAAAATATGCACCCATTGTCCAGGTTGATGTCGTTTGCCTGGGACAAGAAATATCTAGGAAACTGAGATGCACGCAAAAATTAGGTCCTGTGTATGAGAAGAGCTACTGTAACTTCCAAATGTGGAACCAGGAGTTTACAAATTTTTGAAAATGTCGAGCAAAGCATGGGTTTCATTTTCAAACCGCGGCGTGAATACGTGGCCAATTTAAAGAGCTGGTATAAGCAACGCAAAATCAGCAGGATAAGGCAATCTTTTTTAAAAACCAGAACTAGGGTATATATACACTTACAGTAACAGTGTACAGTACAGTAGTATACTATCCCCTAGGCCTACGCGATGCCACAGGGCATTTCAAAGTTGATAACCCAGGTAAAATTGCGTGTCCAGTCACGTAGGTTTCACGCAACGAAGCAAAGTTATGGGTCATGAGGAAAGCAAGTTCTCCTTCTCGGTTGTGTCCCGGAAACAATGAGCATTCCAACGAATGCGTGGATTTACCTCCTTCGTCGTACCTACACGGACTGTTTTTATTGATGGGAGGGATCATGTGAAAAAGATGAACTGTGGCACACTGGCTCAACAAAACGGCTGTAGCTGAAAATAAAAAACCAGAAAATTTTGGATACTTCGATAAGTAGTAAACAGACAATTCTTGTTTTTATTCCTGATTTTTGTTTTGGGATCAGTAAAAATGAGTAAATGTGCAATACTGTATATTGCTTTGCACGGCAACATTCATGAGGCGTATACTGTAACATTTTGAGGATTGATTCAAGGGAATTCGTAGTCCGATCATAAAGAAGTAATCGCGAAATTTTTTTGAAAAGTAAGTTTCTGACTGTTCCAAAAATGTCATTAAATGAAACGTTTAATGCGCAAAAACTTTCCGTATCAGTCGGCTCTATGAAAATTATGAACTGCAGCATATTTAACATCACGAAAATACACAAACGAATCACTGGGGGAAATATGACTCAATAAAATTATGCCTAAATTTCCAGCAGAAAATTACTTAGAAAAAATCTCAAGCGCATACTGTATTAATATTCATCAGCCGTTATTGAAATCTTCAGCTTCAATTCATGGCTTCTGAGGCAACATTACATTTGCATGCAGCTTCAGTTTAAATACTGTATCCTGATATCATTTTGAAAGTGGATCAGCTACAATTTTTAGCGTAATAAGTAAATGTGAACAAATTTCCTCTCAGAATAATTGAATGTATGTTCAACTCTTGTATTTAATGAACAATGAAATGCTCTGAATTGAATGCCTAGCAGTTTCATTGCTATCAAAACAAAATGACGCACTATTTCAAATAACAGGAGTACCAGAAAACTGATGCTCATTACTGTACTGAAACTTTGAACGATTCGATACATTAACAACGACTTACCAAGGAAGCCGGTGGAAGGAGCGATGCTGTCGAGGTCAATAAATGGGGACTCATTTGTCACAAAGTTTTTCAACTCCTTGATGTACGAATAGTCCAATACGTACACACGAATATTTTTGTTCTTCCCGTACTTATTCCATCGCATGTAATTCGAGAGTCCGTTGTACCCATGTTTTTTAAATTTGTAAACCCACTCATTCTTCCAGCCACCATGGCACTTAAAAAATAATAAATGTTATTCAAGGTTCAGTGCTTCATGGTGCACTCAAATAAATCCAAAACTTCATCTTTCCATAGCTTGATTAACAGACAATATATGTAATTTTTGTTGCCAAATTTTGCGACCTTGAACGCTTCAAACACTAACCTTGGTAAGAGACATCCTGTGGTAGCTTTCGCCGCAAAAATCCCATCCTAAATTGATGACAGTATTTTTTTCATGGGCCTGTTCTTCAGCAGTGATATGATTCTTGCCAACTGTGGTCAAGGATTCCAGTAGCTGGTCATTGATGACTCTAAGTGTCGTTTTCGACCCGACGTCTGCTTGCAGACCCTTCACCGGAGCATTATTCATTCGTGCAATAACCTTGTACTTATCTGCAAAAAATTTACGGAGTCACTGCGTGAGGGATTCTTCTTATCCCCCAGCTTCGAGGAATTAGCACAGAACATCTCCCGAAGTTGAAATTGAGAGAAAATCAAACAGACTTGACCAAAAAATCTTTCTAAACGTGACAAAGCAAATGAGATGAGTTCACCAACAGATTATTCGTGGAAGTCTTGTAAATAGGTCCCTGATGGAAGTTAGCACAGCTGCTTCAGAAAGAAAAAGAAGCCCAATAAAATGATACAATCATGATTAAATAACGTTCGCGCATTGAATTACTTTATATATTTTGGACTTCAGAAGTACTGCTGTATGATAGGCTCTATAAATAAAGCGCAAAGGCCACTAAACTTTTAGTGTCTTCTGGACCAAGAGAAATGGCTTTGAAAAGCTCGTCGAAAATAAAAAATACTTCTTGGAGCAAAAATCGGAGAAAATCTACAGTGGATGCTATAGAGTTTGCCAATCGAAAAGTTTGAGACCATTTATATTAAAATCGAAGTTAAATTTTCACTTGAAGCTCGCAAATCCTCACCAATGACAGGTCCAAGATGAGAGTTTTTCATGGTTCCAGCACTGGAAACCACAGCACAGGATTTTCCTTTTCCGAAAGATGGCAGCGCTTTACTGCGTGGCATGTATTTTCCCAGAGGATTCAATTTGAATGGCATTTCATTGCCGGAATAAATTCGCGGAACAATTTCTTTCAGTCGACACAAAGAAGCTCTCTTCTTTCTCCAAGAAACCTTGGCAATGGGTCCCCAAGGTACTTTTGGCTTTTTGAGCTTGGCCCCGGTGTACTGAGGAATAAACCCCATCATCCAAATCACATGTCCTGTTCAAAAGTTAAATTTCCGGAATAAAGTTTGAAAAGTGTAACATTAGTGGTTTGGAAAAGTTTCGAAAATGACCTTCGATTTTGTTGTTGAAGAGCCGATTTCGACCTCGAACGTTTCCTGCCGTTCGTACTCTTATTTTCCTCTTTTTCTTGTATGAGCTCGCCAAGAGTGTTCTGTGAATTTGATTTCCTCCGTTGGGTTTGTCCAAAAAACTCGTTTTTTCTGCAGTAATAAATCAGCATTATAATTACTCACTTAAAGAAAGAACTGAACTTGCCGTCATCATCGTCCGGAATCAAGTTCCCCACTTTGATGCAATCAGTAGTATTTAATTGGTTCGCTACGCATTCTACCTCAGTTTTACTTCCACCAGCATTTACTTGCTTTGCAATAACACAAATCACCATCAAGCAAAGTATAATTTTCATTTTTTTAAAAGAAAAATACACCGTGAAATGACTTTTCAATACTGACGCAAATCTTTCTTTGGCCAAAGTGAACGGCTAATTTCGAAAAAAATTGAAGGTGGCACAGACAATTGAGCGAAGATTAAGCGATTGGATGCCTAATGTAAGAATACGAGTATATGTTTCTTATATCAGCGATTTGGTATGATCATGAGTTGGATCACCCATTTGGCTGATTGAAAATCATCACTGTGACATTTTCAGTTCTCCTTAGTCATTTTAAATGTATCAAAAACCACGTATATTGATTAGTTCAGAGTCTGTGGGTTTTTTGTCTTTGGTTCCATTCAGTAATTTCCATGTGTTATTGAGTCTATCCCAAGAGAGAACGTCTCGATTTATCAACACTTGCTAAAAGGATAAATGTAATTCCCACAGTTTAAAAAATTGGCCAGCATTTTTTTTTGGAATTTTTCTTGATAGCTTAGTTCGGAAGATATTCAAAATAGAGTGCAATGCAGTAAAAATAAAGGATAGCATCTAAATTTAGATTTCTCAAAGTTTGTTCTATTGCCTTTCCTTTGAATGTGGAAAAAAATTATACCCTTAGAGTTTACGTCTTAGTCAAAATAATTTCTCAATCGCTAGAGCTACAAAATGGAAAAATGGCGCAGGTCATCATTTCAAGTTTGGGTTATTCAACGGAAAATCTGGTGAGTCTTGTGCATTTAAAAGTTTGCGACTTCATTTTCAAGCTAGGAGAGTACAATGTTTCCCATTGTATTCCAAAAAGGTTGATCCAAGTTTGAGAAATTGGGTATTTCTTGAATCTTGACGCAGTAATCATGATGTTCAATAAGCGATCGGTTTGCTTATCCTGTAAGAAAGCTGGTTTATGCCATATTTTTGAATGCATAAATTAATTAAAATCACCTGTAAAGAATACAGTGATCTGCTGTCCATGTTGAATCCATCAGCGTGTGGCGAGACTTTTTGAATTAAAACACCGAGATAAAAATAAAAATAAAACTGGTCTGGGGATGAGATGAAAAAAACATTTTTGTCTTGGATTAGACTTTCAAGAAAAGCTTGAATGTTTAGTGTTCCGATTTTGTCAACGGCATTTCTTTCATTTCCAAACTATACTATACAGCATATAGCTTATTTATGTCCAACCTGGTATGTTGAAAGCACTCCATTTTCTTTCTTTTTTTTTTAAAGGGAGAATAGCGCCGTATTTGACCAATATACAGTCATTATTCTAGCCCGTATTAGGCCTGCGTGAAGAACGGCGGCATTTCAAAGTTGAAAGCCCTGGTAAAACAGCGTGGCCCGTGATGTAAGTTTTTTGCAAGGAAGCCATGTTCTGCGTCATGAGGAAAGCAAGTTCTCCTTCTCGGTTGTGTCCCGGAAACAATGAACATTCCAACGTGCGCCTGGGTTTTCCTTCTGAGTCGTACTTACACGGACCGCTTTTCTTCAGTGGAGGGATCATGTGAAAAAGATGAACTGTGGCACACTGGCTCAACAAAACTGCCGTAGCTGAAATATTAAAAAAATACTATTATATACATTTTAAAACATAAACCTTACATTCATTCAACTAAACCTTGTCTGGGGACAGGCTGAAGACCTCATGTGCTTTAAACTGGGTTCAGTAACTGCTGCAATTGCTATAATTCAGGCTTATGCTGCAATTCTTGTTACTGATATTTTGTTTGCATTGTGAGGGAAAGGAGGTGGTGTACATATGGACATCAGTTATGCAGTTGTACACTTTGGATTTTTTTTTTATATCCGTATGCAGTTTTTTTTTCTCTGTTTCCCATTCTGAAGTGATTGAGTGCGTTTGAATGGATTTGGGTTGGGTGGGGAGGGGGTTTGGATGTGGGAATGTTGATTGAACCTTATGAATAGACATGACTTTTTCCCTTTTATTTCCAAAGACAAGTAAGTGTGTTTCTTTGCCTTTCGGAATGTGTCCCTGTGATGTTTCCCAAATTTTGGTACATTTATACAAGACCATAAGACCTTCTCCCTTTAAAATTATTGTAATTTCTTTGCTGACAACATTGGCAGAGCGTATGGGGGTAAAAAATGTATTCTTACGCTTTCTGCATTCTAATTTATGCTACGAAAAAAATTGGTGACATTTTTACATAAAAAAAAAATCTTGAAGGCAGTGGTGCAACTTGAAACATTTTCTTCATCAAGCGGCTCCATTGAAAAGTCTTCAACTTTAAAAATTGCAGGAACAAAAGAAAACTGTAATGAAATGTAAGTACTGTATTATGCCTCAAAGATTGTCTCATTCATTGCTGGTGTCTGGCCTTGGAATACATTCGCAGTTTACTAGTTTTTCCTAGACCGTATATGGAAAACGGGAAAAAATGCACTGTCTTGTTCTTAGATTGGATGATGACTTTTCGGCATTTACCTTGAAATTGGTGTTACTATCAATGAGGGGATTCTGTCTAACCGCATTGTGAACTTTATCTCTCGCATGCATCAATCACTGCTCTGATTTGAATCATGTCAGGTAATACAGTAAGGACACGTTGTTAACTACCATTTGGCTCCTATTAAATATGTGATTGCTTTCCGTAAAGAATCGTCATTATTCTCTTGGTTATGTTTTTTCCATACTTTATATTTAACGAGCAATGGAAAATTCTAAAAATCGAGATTCTCTCCGAGTACTCTTCATTCATTTTTTGCTTTAAGGTTCATAAGTTTGAAACATAGCATTTTTTGCAGGTCAGCAACCCACTGTATCTCTTGCGAAAATTAGTTGTCAGTAATCAAAGAAAAAAGAGCTTCTTTGTTTGCTAAAGCATAATCACATGGTGTTTTATTCATTGCCGGAATAGGAAAACATTTACTGTAAAGTAATTGGAAGCGTTCAGAAGGAGTTGATGGAATAACATTACTGATGGAATGCTCATGATCATTGAAACTCTCGTCAATGATGTGAAGGTGAAGATCTGAACCTTTGTCTGAATAAATAGATTGAACGCATTTTCTGAGAAAAATCCAAATTAAAACAAACGCTTAGTTTACTTTCTGAGGTTTTGTGCGGATATGCTCCTGCCAGAAATTTTAAAACTTTCCACGCACTGCTTACAGTCTCCAACAGAATATTTAAACTGGTGAACAAAAATCATTCGTAATAGCGTATACGCGATAGAGGTTTTATGCATGCAACCTATCTCATGGAAAGTAAGTAATTAAGGCATTATACTTAAATGGAATCGGATTATGCTCACCTATAAAACCCGTGGAAGGACCAATGCTTTCAAAACCTTCAAATGGGGATTCCCGGGCGATATAAACTTTCAATGCTTTGATATACTCGTAATCCAGAACATATACATGAACGTTTTTGCTTTTTTTGTATTTAGTCCAGCGCATGTAATTTGCAAGTCCATTGTACCCATGTTTTCTCAGTTTTCCAACCTTCTCACTCTTCCATCTCCCATGACACTACAAATGACAGATTTTCAAGCTTTCGTCGGGGAAAAATTTTACCAAACTTCTTTGGCATTATTTAAAAAAAATGTCTCTGTTGAAATAGATGAAAATTTTATTCGGAATTTATAGATGGAATACGATCAAGTTTTGTTACTGTCATCGCTTGAGTTTTGGCAAATCAGACGACTAAAAAAACTTTGTGAAAACTCACTTTTGTTAGAGGCATGTTCAGGTAACGTTCGCCGCAAAAATCCCACCCTATGTTGATGATGGGACGTTTTTGCATCTCACGTTCTTCGGCAGTGATGTGATCACTGCCAAGTTTGGTCAAGGATTCTAGTACCTGGTCATTGATTATTCGAACTGTTGTTTTCGATCCTATGTCTGCTACATGGGACACCACCGGAGCATTATTCATTCGTGCTACGACGCTGAACTTATCTGCGCAAAATTTTATAAATGTCATTTTCTAGATTGATTTGTTTTTGCACTTTCCGCACGAGAGAATTGAAAAAAGGACAAAAGCTAAATGGAGATTGACTTGAGCGTTTCAGTTCGTATACTCTGAAAATTTTCTGAATCACAGTTGGACCTCAAGAAGTTGAACTTCCTCAAAATTAAAACCTTACTGTTTCGAATATCCAGTTAATGTCTGAATACTGTATTTTCTTGAATATAGTACCAGGCGCACTTTCTTCTGAAAATCTACACGAAATTATGCAGAACTCGTTTCACTCGGTTATCCATTTTTTGAAATACTGCATTGAAATTGTAGTATGCATAAGATAGTTTTTGAATCATTACACGATTAAGTAAAGCAATCAAGAAGCTATACACGCATAACGATTTTGAAGATTTATCGAAAATCTGACTTCTTTTCTTCACGGTTTTGTTTCAGATTTCCAATTTGTTCATTATCCGAAATTTAAATTCGTAGCATTTTTAGATTTTTTATTGAATTTATTGATCATCAAAAATTGGGGGTTCACCTTATGCAGGGATACACACTCACCCAAGATTCCATCATAGTTATTGAAAGAATATGTTACGTGAAGTACAGCATGCAGTAATGTAATTAAGTCGAATGCAATTTAAACCTTCAAAATTTTAAAATCGTTTTGGGCCAAACTTCCCTCAATAAAATTTAAAAAGCCTTCTTGTTTTTGAATTGAGGCTAAATTCAAATTAACTGTTCCAGAAAACAAGCAAAAACAGCAGCAGATTATTTCTGTTTACTTCGCACCTGTAATGGGACATCTTCCTGCAAATAGGACATAAATTAATGGTTAAAAATTCCAATAATTTCGCCAGAATATAATTTCAATTGATTAACTAATACCCAAATGAATTTACAGTTTATGTAGTTTAAGATCTCTTTGTCAAATGTTTATGAAGGTCCTTAAATTCTGATATATCTGATATAGCTTCATTTCGATTCTTCCATTGATTGCAAATATGTTTTATTGTTGAATGCTGGAGTCACGAATCCTCACCAATGACACTTCCAAGCAGAGCATTTTTCATGCTTCCTGCACTGGAAACCACAGCACAGGATTTCCCTTTTCCGAATGAAGGCAGCGATTTACTTCGTGGCATGTATTTCCCCAGAGGATTCAATTTAAATGGCATTTCCCTGCCAGAATAAATGGATGGCACAATTTTCTTCAGTTGGCACAAACTAGCTCTCCTCTTTTTCCAAGGAATTCTAGCAAGCGGTCCCCAAGGCACTCTCGGTTTCTTGAGTCTAGCCTGGGAGTACCAGGGTATGAATTTCATCATCCAAGCCACATGTCCTGTTCATGAGTTTTCAAAAAGGTTTATGAAGTTTTTTTCGAATTTAAAGTATTGTTGAATTTACCTTTTATTTGTTTATTCGTTAATCGTTTTCGAGCAAACTGGACGCCTCTTTCGCGCGTTTTTCGCTTGATGGGCGAACGTTTGCGGTTCTTCGACCCGGGTTGTCGGTATTGGGTATTCCTACCTTTTCTTCGTTTCTCATCCGCAAAAAGACTTCCTATTGCTGTATTCATTCGTCAGAATGAAAAGGAAATAGTACACAGGAAAATAAGATTGACACAAAATACTTGCCGTTATCTCGGGTGATATCTTGAAAAGTGATGCACTGCGTCGTATTAGCTGGACAATCGTCATCGATTGTTTGGCCAAAAACATTGACTTGAGTTTCAACAAACCATATTATTAGTACACAAATGCAGATTTTCATCTTCTGTTACAGTTTCATGAATGAAATGAATCTGACTACGACTGGTTACTATTTGTTGATAAACTTTTTAATCACAAGAATCGAACTCGAGTACAGATTTGACGTGGTCTTGGTTGATTGAACTCGAATCTCACTCTAGGTAGATGGAAAGAGATTTTCTCATTTGTATCGATTATGGATACCTTGAAAAGCGATAATCTTTTCTAGTACAGTATTCTGTTTTTCTTCATTCGATTATCACGTGGAACCAATCGAGTATTTCATCGGTGTTTGGGGATCAATCGAGAAAAAACCAAACACTTTCTTCTAAGACGTTCTCGGTTTTGGGGATAGCCGATTCATTTTCAGAATTTTAAATGAGTAATATTAATGAACTTTTTTGATGCACCTTCAAGAAAATTCAAGATCTTTTGATAGATACGAGAATTTTTAAATACAAAGAAAGAAATACACTTCTACTGAAGAAACAAATTTGAATTGCTTTACAGTATTGTATAGTCATTTTCTTCAGAAACACATCATGGCTAATTTTCATCTTTTTCTAGACCTTGATGCTCCAATGCCAAATTATAGGAACCTTGAGCCCTGATGTACATTGTTTTTTTTTTTAAAGTCGCATTCCTTAAAAGTTAAAAAATGAGGGCAAATATGTTCAATGTATTGATTTAAATTTTAATTCAGATGACCGCCATCATCAAAAATAAGCTCTCTACGAATCGTATGTGTTTTATTTTTGCAGTGTTTATATTATTGGAAGCATTTTTTTTCTGCACCCTCGTCACGAGATTTGTATTATGTGGGACGTATGACAACAACAAAAAACGCTATGAAGTAACAGAAAATTTTCCACTTGAAAATTAGCTGGAAATTTACGCGTGAAACTTTTTGGAAAACAGTGCAATGTATATTTGTTTGTAAGGAAGGTTTCATACCAAACGATGAACCAATGCGTATCTGTCTTCTTTTACATTTAATTAGAATCGAAAAGGTGAAAGAAGTCGAGGGATTCCAGATGTAATTTGACTGACGTCACAGGACCCAAGCCTTGATCAATGAACGCCTTGATGGAGTCCGGATGAAAGTTTTTTTCTGGAGGGGGCTCATTCCGTATTCCGCTCATTCATTCCCACATACGTCCACACCTGTACGAAGCCCGAAAAATCAACGTCCTCTATCATCTCTCGCAGGACGTGATTTAACATTCCGAACATGTTTCCACGGAGAAGTGACAAATGATCCGCGGTTTCCGATGAAGGATCGGACACGGAGCCGAAGGTGGATAATAACTCTTGCCCCGACTGCAGACTCATCTCTCAGGTGTGAATATCCCCGGGACCTCGTTTGCATCACAAATGCTCTTTCTCTCTCTCTCACTCTTGCTCACCTTTTTGGTGAATACGACTACTGATTAGTCTGTCGACTTCACAGTGACGAGGACGATCTCCAACCAGTTCATTTTCTTTCTTTCAATATTGCGATATTCCGCGTCTTGAATATTTGCAAGAGCGGGATGGGAAAACGTTCGTCTTCGGCTCCCGGGGGTGAGACACGAGATATCGGGGAAAGATATTGATTGGTTGTATGGCGCCGAGTGCCAATAAATCAATCTGTGGATGGGGTTCTGTTGTCTTTTCTTCTTCTTTTTTTTTTTTCTGTTGTTGTTACAGTTGCGTCTGTCTTTTGACGTGATCTTTTCCCCCCGTTTGACAAGAGAAATAAGTCCATACGGTACATACACGCGTGACGTGATAAGGCTCGCTTTTTGTGTAGATGGATGTTTGCGGAAGCCTGTTGTTTGCTGTGCTCGTGTTTGATTGCTGGGGCGAGTTTTCTACACAAATTCGTGTGAATTATGCATGCTTGCTTTCTTGTTATCAAAACCGTGTCATCGGGTCGCGACAGGAAACCAAACTGTTTGCGCATGTCACAATAACACAACCGGACTTGGGAAGAGCATGATTTTTATCTTTTGTTGAGCGATAGGATTTACGTATCCTAAAACTTGCCTAATCTGTAAGGATCGAAACCAGAAATCTTTTTTACGAGAAAAAAGGCTTACTTTTTTCGCTTGGCATCAGAAAAATACAAAAAACGTGTGAACTTGATATCAAACATCCAAGAGGTTGAAACTTCTATCAAATGATCGAAGAATATCGACATACCACTTGGAAATGAGCAAGTTATTATTAGGTCCTACAGTGTATTAGTCAGAGTTTTCTGAACCACCACAGTATCAGGGGAAAGATGAAATATTTCCTTGTTTATATATTTGGGGTTTCCTCCAATGGACTTTTTTTGTTGCTCAAAAATACTTATTTTAGAATAATTTCAATATTTCGAAACACCAGCACTACAGTTGACTGAAACAAAGATTTTCGCCGTGGGAAGTGGTCATTGCATCTGCAAAACGTTTGCCACGAAGATTTTAAATCTGAAAAATATGAATCGAAGAATTTACTGGCAGCAATTTCAGATACAGTAAACCCTCGATTTAGTGCCCCCTATTTGATGCCAACCTTGCATAGTGCCACAAATGTTCTTTGGACAAATCTCCCTCTGTTGTGTTCTTATGGGAAATCCCAATTTAGTGCTAATTCACGTAATGCCACCAAAAATTCCCTCTCCTGAACGAATAACAGGCCAAAATCAGAGAAATTCCTGATGATTGTTATATTAGGCTAGTACCAAGAATCACATGTCCATGCTCAGGATAATTTTGAAAATTATATTTCTGAATTTCCCTTTAATTGAGTGTTTTTGTTTGGATATTTTATACTTATCTGCAAAGAGCATCTCAATACCCTGGATAGTCTCTTAAAAATTAAAATCAACCCACCTTGCCTTGGAATTGTGTGCTTGCATTGAAAGGTTTATACAAAACTGCGAAAAACAGTATCACTCTTTTACTTTACCCAATTTGCGCAAAAATGTAACATTTTGTTGTATAACAAAAATTTAGATGCTGTAAAAACAGTTTAGCTGAGTCTCAAAATATTTTGTGTGTCTCTCTTTTTTTATAAAACAGACTTGATAGCCTAACAATTTTGAAAAAAAGAAACTGGTTTCACCCACAGTAGAAGCCCTCAAATGAATATTCTTCTGACACAATACAGAACCCCCAATTTAGTGCTACTCTTGCTTTCTGCCAAATATAATGTGCCAGGAAAAATGATGGCACGAAATCGAGGTTTGAGTGTCACTTAAGTGTTGCAGTTAACCCATTCATCCCATATACAGTGCTCGAGCTGCTCCAATTTTTTTTCCTCCAGGTGAACCAAAATTGGACCCATGGACAGGAAATGGAGAAAAATGCGACATATTTCTGAGAAAAATTCAATAACAAATCAATTACCGTGTACTCAAAGTTTCCTGTTTTGTGAACTTTTGCATTTTCTGCTTTTCAGAAAGAAATACTTTCAGGGAAGAAAATAACGTTTCTTCTTACGTGTAACTTGAGCTGAAACCACCAATGGTTTGTGAACTGAACTCCGAATTTCGTTGCAGTATTCAGTGTCGATCGCGACCTTCAGAAGAAAATGTGCTGATAAAAAATATCCTGGTCTATTCAATTTTTATTTTAGAATATACTTCAATTTTTTTATATTAGAGGAAGATTCAGAAATTTAAAGCCTCATTTGTTTCTGTTTTACGACCGTGGCACTGTGGGGAGCCTTCTTAAAATAAACGTGAATCATGGGGCGTTTTTCCAGTGAACCCGGACACCGCGAGTAATCTCCCGCCGTGGCTAATTTTGATAAATGAGTTTTCCGTGAAAATCAGCGAGCACTCGTTTTCTATACTGACAGCATCTTTCTCATGCATGTTCCCAATGTAAAGAGGGTTTTGCAATAAGTTTCACTGTTCCAGGGCTGGCAATAGTTGAAAAAAGGATAATTTTATGAATTTTATGCTTTCAAATGTTTATTGATTTTACGGAAGGTTTTTGCAAGCTTTCAATTACACGAACTGCTCATTAAATGCGCGAAAAACTGGGAATTTTCTACAGGGATGTTTCTTGCTGGCTTCTCCGTTTTTTGACTTTTTGTGTGTGCTTGTTTACTAGGTTAAAATTTATCCTTAGGATAAGCGCACACACTTTTTTGTGTGTGGACTGAATTACCATTATTCTATAAAAAATATATTGAGCTATTCTCCATTGCTACATTTAATAATTTACCTCTATATACTGTACACTTACAGTACTGTATGCCGTTTTATGTGTAACGAGCCTAACGACACGAGCATTTTTAGAAGGAAGGACTCTTTAAATATTGAACCAGTTCCACTGTTTTCTAATACTGTAGATGATTTCATTGCTTTTATGTGTGCCTCGAAAACACTAACACATCTTACTTGAGTATATATTTTGATGCTGCATAGTGTGCATAATACTCAAGCACCTGGAATTTGTTTCAAAAAGTCAAAAGTAAACATTTAAACAATTTTTTTTGCTCAAGAAGAAAATTCAATCGCTTCAACGGCTTTTTCTATATCCCCAACTTTTACTTTTAAAAATAATTTTTTGTACAGTATCTATCGTGGATTTTTATTTTTTATGTATTCATTTATATCACCAAAAACTCAAGCATGCACAAAAATGTGGATGCTATCATAAAAATGGGTTTGGAAGGGGAAGTGTTAACTCCGCTGACTTAAAACTTTTACCCCGCACGACCATGACATGAACTAATTTATACCTTGTCATTATACATGCTCATGCTAATATAGGTATGGTGCGCATGAGTATTCAGAACATTTTTGAATGATGCCTCACATTTTCAGTCTTTAAAAAGTCCAACAAAACAATTCTTGAACATGCGTTGGCGAGAGAACACTGTAGAATTGAACTGGGCTAAAAAAAATCCACAATTCTAAACTCATCATGAAGCATTTTTATCGGCAAGAAATTCGAGTCAAAATTTATGAAATGTTTAAAACATATATGCAGGACAGCAAAACTTGAAGAGTTCTCTTCAGGAATATATATCATACCGAAATCGAAGTTTTTAATCAGAGCAACCATAACGACATTGATAAGATGTATATTTTTTCACTGTAAATAAAATGCGACCCTTATTAAGGAATACGGATTTCTGGTTCAACCCATTAGTGAACCCATCGGGGTTTTTTTTTCCTCCTGTGCACTCACATACAGGAGTCATAAGCCAGGAACATTCGTCACGGACCCCCGGTCCCGTGCTGTGCAAACAAGCTGTTGCGCCGTCGTCGATTCGATATGTGCATAATTATTTAACCGCCACGCAAAGAGATGTCGCAAAAAATATAACACAAATGGCACACAGATTCTTTCAAGCGTCGAAGGCAGAGGGAAAAAAAAGGAGTTTCGAAAAGAACAGCTGAGGTGATCAATCCGAGCGGCTAATGATGGAAGGCAAATTACTCGACCTCTGGATTTGCACGGAGAAACACTTTTTGAAAGGTAGTAGCTGAGACATTTTTTTCACGTCATTAATGGTGTATTTTTGAACCCGAAGAAAAAGGCCTCATTTCTGTCGTATTTATCATAAATGCGGTTTAATTATTAATGCAACATTTTCATTGTCCAAACACGGAATAATTCTCGGGAATAATATAAAATCTCTGACTACCCCGGACTTGTGAATATTGTTGACCGTCGAAATTATGTTGGCTAAGAAGCACGAACTTGGGTTTCATGCAATTTTTCAACAGGAAAAAAATATTCGATCACGAAAACGATAATTTTCATGGTTTAATAATCTAATCAGCATTTTCATTGCCCGAACACAGATTAATTCGCGGGAAAATTATAACATCTCTGGTGACCTCGGAACTGTGATTTGATGACCATCAAAATTAGTTCGAAAAGAACTGCAACTCACTTGGGTTTCACGCAATTTTTCAAGTGGAAAAAAATTCTTCGATCATGAAAACGATCATTTTAGGTATACATTCTGAAGAGCATAATATAATTCACGCATACAAGTTACAAGTGGTTTTACGAAATCGGAATGTAAAAACATTATAGTATATATCTCTTCAATTTCGCGTAATTCAGCCATCGTTAAATTGAAATATGAGGAGAAAAAAGAAGGTGAACTAAGCTTTGTTCTTTATAATTTTACGATAGAAGTACCGAAGTAGAAAGTAGTCCATGCTTGAAGAGGAAATAATATTGTACTTATAAATTCTATGTTCAATTTTAATTGGAAATTTTACGCATTCTCTTCTGCATTCCGAATACTGTACTTATCTGATTGATTGGTACTGACATCACTGGATTGTTCGTCGTGAGAGATGATGAGGCTCTGTCTGTAAAAGTACTGATCAC